CCTGACGCTGTCTGCGGGGGGCAGAGCGACCTGTTATCAGGCGAGCCTGACATACTTTCATCTAAGCCATGGAGGACGCACACACGATCACTCTTAATCTCGACGGCAGCCAAGACGACTCGAACACGTTTTTCGCTGTATACGACGGTCACGGCGGTGTGTTGTCTTTATCTGCTTGCCATGCCCTTGACCCAGACCCTTCCCTCGAGGTGGTGCCGCGGCCAAGTACGCCGGAGAGAATGTACACAAGAACCTCGTATCCGACGAGGCATATCAACGCAAGGAGTACCGTGCAGCACTGAAGAATGCGTTCCTTCGTACTGACGATGACATGCGAACTGGTGAGCCTTACCTCTCCAACACGGGTTCGCCATTTACCGATCGGGTAGTCCTCTTGGCTCCAGGAATGCAGAGAGATGGATCGGGATGCACGGCAGTTGCAGCGCTTGTAACAAAGGAAGGCAAGGTGCTCGTGGTACGTGTATAGAGCTCATTAATTACCCTGCCCTCATTGTCCCTTCTAGGCCAATGCAGGCGACTCGCGATCAGTCATTAGTGTAAAGGGGGAAGCAATACCTCTCAGCTATGACCATAAACCACAGAACGAAGGTGCGATGTATGCGATGCGTTTGACATATCCATAGCTAATGGCGATATCCTATAGTGGAGAAGAACCGGATTGCCGCTGCTGGTGGTTACATCTCCTGCGGTCGTGTAAATGGCGAGTATCACTTCCGTGTGTGAACGTCGGCATCGCGTCTAATTCTCACAGTGATCTAGGGAACCTCGCTCTGGCCCGCGCATTGGGAGATTTCGACTACAAGAGGAACGAAGCGCTCTCACCAGAAGCTCAGATCATCACATGTGACCCGGAAATCGTTGAGCATGAAATGACGGACGAAGACGAATTCTTAATCATCGCGTGTGACGGTGAATTGTCTTTTATTCTTCCCCGTGTGGTCGCCGCGGCTGATGTGCGCGCAATCTCTCTTAGGTATCTGGGATTGTCTGACCTCGCAGCAATGTGTAGATGTCATTCGTCTCATGATCTCACAAGGGAAGGATCTATCTCAAGTGTGTGAGGACATCTGCGAACTCTGCCTCGCCCCCGACACGAACTCCGGTGCGGGCATCGGCTGCGACAACATGACCATTCTCATTGTTGCGATCCTCCACGGGAGAACGACTGAGGAATGGTACAAGTGGATTACCGAGCGGACGCAGCAGAAGTACGGTCACCCGACTCCGGACGAGCTCCCGCAGCTCTACTCGCCGAGCAGGCTCGCTTCGTTCAAGGCACGACGGGAGGCATGGGAGGCGCGCAAGGCGCAGCGCGAGGCCCAGAACGCGTCGGGCTCCTCGCCTGACAAGGATCAGCACTTTGGCGACGGGGACGACGAGAACCTGAGCGGACCCGGGATGTTCGGCGGCTTCGCGCGGGTGCTCGGGAGCACGGGCGGCATCTCGTTCCACCCAAGCACGGGCATCACCATCGGTGCACCGCTGATGTTCGACAATGACGATGACGACGACAGCGATGAGGCGGATATGGAGGACGCCATGGGCATCTACCACTCGGGCGAGGGTACCCATGAGAACGATTTCTCCATGTACAGGCGGGATGCGACGAAGAGCCTGAAGGAGCAGCTAGACGAGCTGGAACGGGAAGACGGGCTGGACAACGGTGGGGATGTCAAAATGAACCACAATTCGTCGCTGCAAGGTGAAGCACCACCGCCCCCGCTCGAACCGAAAGTGAACGGGGACGCCGCGCCGCTGGGGCAGCACTCGACGCCTCCGGGTGGGGACGAGACTAGTCCGGCGGTGAAGGCGGAGGGTCTGCTGGATAAGAGCGAGGACCCGCTTAAGGTGTAGCATAGTGTCTCCATACCATCCTTTGTCTCTCTTGCGCTGTTTTCGTATACTCTGTGCGGTGTTCAGCTATATCTATTAGTCGGCGTCTGACTGTGTCCTGTCTCATACCTCGCCCTCATCCATGCCCATTGTTGTCCCGGTGTATCCGCCAGCTACCCACTCATGTTTACGCATACGACTGGAGTTAATACATGCCCTCATGGTCCATTTGTGTACATTTAGTAATCATTTCTTTTCCTGCATCCGTTTCTTCCCCCCACTGCCATAGACACGCCCCGCAGACCATCACAGCACGTTGCGCAGGAGTATCAACTCACCTTCGCAGAGGCACAGGATGACGGGCTCAGCGTTCGGGCCCGCCGTCACCAAGCCGATGCCTAGCAGTGCCCCCGCAGTCCCACCGCCGGCCTTGAGCACGGCCTGCTTCGCCCACTTCTCCTTTGCCGGTGCTCCCCGGTAAATGTACACGTTTCCCCCGAGGTCACTCGAGCCGCTCTCGAACGCGAGCACCGCCCGCGACGAGACGTGGAAGGTGAAGCGCGTGTCACGCTTGCTCGCCAGCACGAACGCGAGCGCGGAGTAGGTCGATGTGTGCTTCCACTCCGGCCTCTGCTCCGCACTGTTCGCGGCGCCGAGCTCGTACACCACGCCATCGATCCCGTTCTTCACCACCAAACTCGGCCGGTCGGCGTCCGCACCGTCCGTACCAGGGAAGGGCGTCGAGAGCACCTCGAGCGGCGCGTCGTCGTCGTAGCCCACAGCGGCCGTGCCGTCTGCGCCGACCCAGGTCACGCATGCGCTCCTGCCGACGCTCACATCCAGTTCGTCGTCCATCTCGTCCTTCGCGAGGCTTGGCACCCCGCGCCCGAGCCCGAGCCCACTCGCGTCCTCGCCGCTCTGCAGCGCGGCCGTGTACTTCTCCAGCGCCTCCCGGATCGCGTACAGCTCGGACGGGTCGAGCGTCTCCGGGACCTCTTCCTCCTCGTCCGCAACCCCGGTCTTGGAGCCGAGCGCGGGCGCGGTCGCGCCCGCGGCAGCGAACACCTGCGGCCAGCGCGTGCCCTCGTGCGCCTTGTCGAGGTGCAGCGTGAGCACGCCGTAGCGCCGCTCGGCCGCGCGGTCGAAGGTCCACATGCTCGTGCTCGGCTGAACGTGGTCCCAGAGCGGCTTCATGTCGTACCGCGGGAGCGGCACCGCCGACGGCGTGTCGCCGGATCCGGCGTCCCGCACGAGGACGGTGAGCGTGCGCAGGGAGAAGGCGATCTTGATCGCGTCGGTGGGCGTGCTGGATGGTAGCGGGATCGCGATCGTGACGCTGTCGGGGGTCTGTGTCCAGGAGTAAGGAGGAGGCTTCTGTAGCGCGTTCGACGGTGGCGCGGGGGTCCCGTCGAGGTTCTCGTTTGCGCGGGGGATGGGGGCGAGTTCGTCGGGCGTGGGCGTGTATAAAGGGTCGGGGCCTGCGTCGATGGTGCGATAGGACGCGCCTACGAGCATGAACGCGCGCTGGAGGGCGTCATAGAAAGTGTAGATCGGGACGTCGTCGCCTCGTCTGTGCCAGAGGATGTCGAGGGCGCGCGTCTGGTCGGGGACGGGGGTCATTGGTAGGGTGAATCGTGCCGCCCAGACGTCGAACTCTGGACTCTTTGGGTGGGGCCGGGTACCACTGGACGTGACGTCGCTGGATGTCGCAGCGGCGCTTGGATAGTGCTTCGACGAGAGAACGACGATCGCAGTGTCCGGTGCAGTTTGGGCGACGTGGTGGATCCTGAAAGGGACAGCGCTTCTCGACGATCCGTAGGTAGCAGGTATCGCGAGCTCAAAGGTGCCAACCAACTCGGCAGGTCCAGCGTTTGGGATAGTCAGCGCGTAGAGGGTACCGTGACCATCGGATACAAAGATTGACGAGGCGTCCAAGAACCCAACAGACGGATATTCGCGCTGGGGCGGGTCGGCTTCTGGGGAAATGATGGGCTTTGGCAGCTCGTACAGCAGACGAAGTCCCGGTTCTAGAGCCGCCTACTTTTTTCCACGAGAGTTGAGCAAGTGGGCGATGTAGGTAAAGATGGCGGCAGCTCACCTCGCTCAGCTTGACGGATACGACTCGGAGCTCCTCGTCTACGTATGCTGCGCTACCATCCTGCGTGCAGAGAGCGAGGTGGTTGTGAGATATCCTGCTCTGGACTTCTTGAAATGTTACGTGTGATCGACCAGAGACATTCATCTGCGAAGGCCTGTACTGTAGTCCATAGTGCGAGACAGCCTGTTCCTGGAGAATGGGGGAGAGCTTGTATCCTTCAAAGCGGGGATTCAGGAGAGCACGGTTCGGCTTGAAGTTTGCCATCCTGGTGATATAAAAGGGGATCAGTACATGTGGAACTGACCTAGACAGCTGGCGCACAGTGGCTGCACTGAATGGCAGTAAGTACTAGTATACTACACAGTCGATCGGGCCTGCGCCTCGGACCGCGTCGCAGCGCACTAGCACGCACTCAATGACGCACTTATCATCACGCGATTGGCGCCGGCGAGGGCGCCGGTTGTGGACCTTGCGACTGCGACCAAGTTAGCGGTTGGCGAGGGTGTGCAGTGTGCAATACAGTATTCTCTGTTCGTGGG